CCAGTGCCTGTTTTAGCTTAGTACCCCGAACGTAATGACATCTTTCTTATTTTTCATCAACTGCGCAGTTAACTTCGTCACGTCGGACTACTAATTTGATCCGTGCTGAGGCCTTCCTTATTCTAGGAGGTGTTGGGTTTAGCTTATTCACTTGGATGGGTTCGCCAATAAGCAAAATTTGGCGCATTTGGGGGAACTGAGAAACCGCATTTCACGATCGAGAAGTTTCTCCACCCTCAACGGGCGACTGTGTCATGTGAAATGTCCAGTCACGGAATAATCAGTGCGGTATTCAATGACGGCACGGTCTACTGGACGATACCTAAAAGTTTCGGAAAATGATTTCATCCCTATTATCCTAAGTGCTCCTGATTTCGATAAGGTGTGTGGTTCATGCAAGATGGAATTAGATCCCATCGGACCAAGAGAGTGTTTGATATTCTGGAGGAGCACTTTGGAGACAGCATTCTGGCTCTGCAAGAGGCTACTGGAATGAAACCAGCTTGACCGCCATATTCTCCAGATCTGAACTCATTTTCGTGGGCCTATATTAGAGACAATGTGTACAGAAATACCACCAAAATCATTGTTGAGATGAAAACTGCTATTCAGGAAGTCATCGATGTTCCGACACTTCAGCGGGTCATGCAGAATTTTGCTATTAGTTTGTGCAACATCATAGCAGGCATATCAGTGACGTTTAACATGTTGAATAAACTTCGTGCACTCAGTAGTTTTTAAATAATTTACCTTTTATTACATATCGTTCAATAATTGTTACCATATTCATTTTTTTTTAAATGTAGTGAAGTTAAGATGATTACCTTCGGTTTTAACGAGAGATTTACGAAACCTAGGGCGATAGGTCACCATGGCGCATGAAACACTGTCATGGCATTCAATATTTCATTAAAATGCAATGGTCAACACACATTTTTGTGGAGACCTGATTTTAACCATATACTAAGTGTAAAATTTCTTTCTTTCATTTTTTTAACGTGATATCGGGAAAGTTTCTAATAAATTTTTACAGTATTATATAATGTACAGTGCGCAAAAATAAAATGAACCGACCACCCTCTATAACTATTGATCTACTGATAGGATCTTCACGTTCTAGGACTCAATTTTAATGGTTCCAAGGAGTAACCACAAATATGCTAATTAGCACGTCAGAAAACGCTCTTTCTCTAAATAAACATCCTTTTTTTCATTAATGACGGATTAGGATTTTTGATTCGAAAAACATATGGGGTAGCAGCAATCTCGAAAATATCATCCCTATAATTTTGGTTAGGAAAGCGATATTAAGTTTGGACCCCTTATTGTTAATTTTACTTTTTGGGGAATTTCGCCATATCCTGACAACATATAAAGGGAATTGAAAAAAAAAAATTGCTCAGTTATACCAGGCTAAAATTTTGAATTGCAAGGTATAGAATTTTTTACATCATTAAAGAAAGTAATTTTAAACGGCAAAATACGAAATCGGTCAAATAGTTCCTGAGAAATCAAATTTTAAATATATGACCATTCAAAATTCGATTTCTCAGGAACTATTTGACCGATTTTGCTCAATTTTTGTATTTTGACATGCATGGCATTCTTTAAAATGATGTAAAAAATTGTATACCTTACAATTCAAAATTGTTTCGATTATTAATAAATAAAATAATAAAGAATAACAAATATTTGTTAAAAGTTATTTTCTGCAAGTAATTTTCTCTGAATATACAAATTTTGTAAGAAATTTTTTTATTCGTTTAAAATTTCCCAGAGATATGGCGGAATACGCAAAAAATAAAATTAACATAAGGGGTCCAAATTTTATATCCCTTTCCTGAGCAAACTATGGGAATCATATTTCCTATACAGCAGCTACCCCCTATATTTTGGGGGTCAGAAACCCGAATCCCTTTTAAAAAAGATATGGGTATTTAGAGAAAGTACGTTTTTGTATCTGATTTCGTAACTTAAAATACTGTCTGTACTAAGTAACTGGCATACTTGCGGTCACCCGAATCGAGATGGACTCCTAGAACGTTTGTACTTTTGTTAAAATTTTATAATTTTAACAGCTATTGCAAGGAATGAAAATATTGATGTAAAATTCTGAAAAAATTCACAAGTAATATTTCATTCAATACACAATTTTTAAGTGGTAATTTTTTTTTCTCTATATGACAAGCTTTGAAAAGTTGACTAAAATTTGCTGCTTTTTTTGAAAAATTTCAAAATTTAGAGACTTTTACGGAGAATGAAAATGGTACAAAAAAAGTTTGAAAAAATTAACGAGTCCATAAACAATTTTTGTTGTTGTTACAACACTTTTTCAAATGATGCATAAACATCAAACTTCTTATTCGAGGAATTTTTTCTAAACTCTAACAAATCCACATTATCCGAATCAAGAGTTATTTTTCTTTGCAAAATAAATAAACTTCAATGTTTTTTTCAAATATCAGTAAAGTTTTTGAACAATGGATGTGGGAATCTGCTAGCTTCAAAAACAATCTAAACATTATAAAAATAACATTAGTGACAGGATCTTTAAAACAATACAATAAATATGGAGAAATGAAAGATGCGGGAACGATGAATCTAGGTTCGACTGTATATACAGGGTGGTCCCAAATTCATGGTACAAACTTTAAGGGTAGGTACAGGACATTGTAACAATCCTTTATTGTACAGGTGCAAGTGATGCGCAAACACAAAAAATAAGAGATGGAAGAAAAGACAATGTGTTTATTGAAAGAGTCGTTGACAAGTGTAATGTTTACAATAACTATTCAAAATTGCATCTACCAGTACATGCTTGACAGAGTAGGTGGAGTGATTGGAGTATACATTCTAAGATGCTAGGCATTTCATGCATATGGGCAGCACCTTAGGATATTCAAACAAGATCCACAGAGTGGCATAAACAACATTCTTCAGATGTCCCCCTTAGAAGAAATCGAGGCTCGATAAATCGGGAGATCAGGGTAGCCAGTAATGTATCTTGTGCAGGAAACTGCACAAGATACATTTGTGGTGTAGCTCTGTGGTTACCATTTGCACAGGCATCTAATTGCATCTCTGCTTTTCCGGCATACGTTAAGTTTCCCATCGTAGACGCCAGCACAATTGGAAATAGCATTTTCCTTTACTGAGATGCTTCATTTTGAATGGCGGCTAAACATCTACTGCCCTCCACTAGCAATGCAAACAATAGATAACTCCATTTTTCTTATTATTTCCTCTGTTAGCACCTCTCCGTGTCACATGCGCCCTTACATCCCAATACAATAAATGGTTGCTACAATGTCCCGTATCTACCCTTAAAGTTTGTACCATGAATTCATTTATTAACATAATTAGCAACATAAGTATTAATAGTTACCCATAATAGTAAGAACTTTTTTTTTTAATTGATTTGTCTACAGATTTCAAAGCTTCTCTTCATGGGCAATAAATATTTCACTGAACATAATTATAAAATAGCTCGATAATTTAAAAAATAAATAAATTCTGGGGTGATTATGGCTTAATGAAAAATTACCTGAATTTTAGCAGGAAAAAAGTATTTGTAGAGGGCTATTCTGAGTTTATATAATTATAAATTCTAATCATTATTTTCATAAATTAAAACAGATTGGTTTATTTCTTTTTGAACTTATTTTATAAAATTTTAATACTTATTATATGCTTGATTTTGAAATTACGTAAATACAAATTGGTATGTTTGAAATCTAAATGTGAATTCAAATATATTTTTTCTATAAAATCATGTTACTACGAATTGCGATATTTAAAGAGGCTTGAATACTAATCATAATATAGGATTTTTGAACTGTGTGAACATGAATTACACTGATTCATTTTTTCATCGACAGAATTTAAATTGTGATATGTAATTTTCAATTAGATGATAATGGCAATTGCAATTTTTAAATTACAGTATTATGAAAATTGAGTGGATTAGAATCACAATATTGGATTTCAGGAACTCATAAAAAAAATGTGATATTAAATTTTGAAATTGTGATGTGTGATTAGTCAGCCGTGAGAATATGAATTCATTTGATTTTTAAATCACTTGAGTAGGGAAGTTCAATTTTCAAATCAAGATAGATACTCCTGTTAATTTTAAAAAAGTATCTGCAAAATTTAAGTCGTTGGATCAGCGTACGATGTGCATCTATATTATCTAACTCTTATCTTATGCAATGGTTGTTATAATGGAAGAATCACTATAATGGAGTAGTCATACTGAAGAGAGTATAGACTGTATTTTTTATTCAATGAAATAATAGAACCTTAAAATTAACATATTTCAGTCATTTTATAAATTGTTCAAATATTTTTTAAAGTAGATATGTGTCATTTCTTGTGCATAATTGTCTTTTAAATAAGATATATAATTTTATGTAATTCTAAATAAGCAGAGAGGTTTTATAAGTGATACAATAATATATATATTGCAACTAAAAGTCCAAAAACTTATGTAAATTTTAATAAAAAAGATGTTTAGTTGTTCTTATAAAGAACTCTACTCAGCTTTATAGTAAGGTTAATGCCTTTAATGTATTTTTGAACAACAGGGAAGGAGACTAATACAAAAATAGTTATATTTTTTTAACAGAAACATCAACTTTTCTGTAGCATTGTAAAAATAAGACAAAAATATCTTATTAGGTAAAAAATTAACAACTTTCTGAACATGTAAAAATATATTTCTTTTATTATAACAGGCTAAAAAATTCCTTTTTCAAAAACAGGAATCTTATTGCAGATTTTGTAAAAACTTTTTCAATTGACTGATGGCAGAAATTGTTTTTAAACATTTTAATTGAGATGGATTATTATTAACAGAAGGTGGAATAGCTCCACAAAATAATCTTATAACTTTTGCATAACTTGTAGTATTAGTGATGAATCTATGACAGATTTTGTAAAAAAAAAACTTTTCAATTAATTCATGGCAGAAATTGTTTTTAAATACTTCAATCGAGATGGATTATCATCAGCAGGACGGTCAATAGCCGTCCAAACAGGATTTCCACAAAACAATCTCATTACTTTGGCATAATTTGTAGCATCAGTAGTAAATCTGTGATAGATACCTGCAGGCAAAACTAAGAGATCACCTTTTTCGGCCTTGATACGGATCCATTTATCATTTTTATCTCTCACATCAAAATAGCCACTGCCAGCCAAAAACAATCTAATTTCTTCGTCTTCATGCAAATGCTCGGTGTAAAACTTTTTAATTGTAGCATCATAATTTGGCAGGGTACCACGAGAAACTTCGACTTGGTCGTCCCAATCGTAACCCCGATCTTTACGAACCTTTTTGAATTCCTCATCGCATTGAAGACTATCAACATCAACTTTCCAGTGTTCAACACCGCATAAAGAATAAAGTCTCTCAATCTCAATAAACTGAGGAGGATTTAAGTGGTGTTCACTTTGAGGGTCTGTTTTTGCATCGTCTATGTACCAAGCTTGTGGCATTTTGGAAAGACAGACGTAAGTTTTGGTTTTGTTAAGATTCAAAATCAAGAGAAATTTTAACCGTTTCGACAGAAACCTACAAACGTAGAGGATGAGGCACAATTTTATCTGTTATCATAATTTATTGATAAAAATCAGGCTGCAAGAACGTGATATACATTTCAAAAATTACGCAATCATAACAAAATTGTTTACTTGGTAAGATTCTGTTTGCTTATTTCTGTGTATCTCGAAGCGAAATGTACAATGCTAACCCACAAAAATATCTCATACAGTTTTATTTATCGAGAAAAAGTTCAGAATTATTCAAAACTTTTGATGAATTTCTTAAAATAAATTCCTTTCCTTCTCATTTATACCTTCCATTTTATAAGATTTTATTTTGAAAATTAATTTAATTACTTAAAAATTAACTGTACTTGTACTCTTTCTTTAAAAATGTAAACAAACAAGGCTGGTTTGTGCGTGTATTTTTTTCGCTATATGGACAAATTCATAAAACAGTTGCTCTAAAAATATTATTTGATTTTTATTAAATTTGGTAAACGATGGAATGTCAAAATAATTCGCATCCTGACTGTAATGTTAATGAAAATTTCCCTAACGAAAAGAGTTTATCGAAACGTCAGCTTAAAAAACTTGAAAAACGCAAAAAGTGGTTAGAAAATAAACCTTTGCGTAAAGCCAAAGAAAAACTTAAACGTAAGCTAAAAATACAAAAAGCTAGAGAACATGGAAAAAACTTTGGCCCAAGTCGGAAAGTTTTAAAATCCAATAAAATGTCTGATTCTACCTGCAAACTAAAAGTATGTTTTGATTTATCTTTAGCTGATGCTATGACAGAAGAAGAGTTCTCTAAAACGTTTAAACAGCTGCATAGATGTTACTCTATCAATAGAAGAGCATCAGCTCCCTTACAAATTTACATTACTGGTTACACAAACTCAACAAAAGAATGGATTGAAAAAAAATTTAATTGTTTCAATTGGGATGTGAACTTTGACCCAAAACAGCATCATGAGGTATTTGAAAAAGAAAGCATAGTTTATTTAACAAGTGACTCTCCTAATGTTATTGATGAACTAGATCACGATAAATGTTACATTATAGGAGCTCTCGTGGATCATAATCGTTTAAAAAATATATGCTATGAAAAAGCTGTGAAAGATGGTGTTGGCCACGCTCAACTACCTTTGGATTTGTATTTTAAATTTAAAACTAGAAAAGTGCTTACTATTGATCAAGTGTATAGCTTACTATTAAGACTCACGGAAGGTAAGACTTGGACGGAAGCAGGACTTGAAATATTTCCTAAACGTAAAGGAGTAGAAGCTATAAATGCTTCCGAAGAAAGTTCTTCTCAAACAACTCTGAAAGAAAGTGATGATCCTGATGGTATAGAAGTGAAAAAAGTTATTACAAATTTAGTTGAAACTACAAATGAATCGAAAGAAATTTCTTCTATGACAATGATAGAAAGTGAAGATCCTGATAATGCTAAAGTAAAAAAAGTTACTGAGAACTCAGTTTGAATAAATATTTGGTTTGATAATGATTTCTATTATTATTTCTTGTTCGATAATTTTCATACTTATATTTGGACGAGTTTCGTGATAAGAAGCTAACGGATGGGGACCAATTTGAAATGCAAATAATTGCTTGATTACATACATTTTGAACAATCCAGCTCATAGTTAACATGCAATGCCTTAATTCTTTATTTAAAAATAATTCTGTCATCTATATTTCAATTCTGATAAAAATAAATTAGAGAAGATTAGATCTTAAAAAATAATAAGGATTAATTTGTGATTAGAATTCAAATCAGTAGCTTAAAAAACATTCTTACTGGATTATTTTTCTTCGTCATTCTGCTTAATTGATCATATTCTAATTTTTCTAGTGCCTATTTGATGTGAATTTTAATTTTGTTGAAAAAATACTCTTAGTAGAGCCTAAACGAATTATTTTGCATTATAAATATAAGTTTGTTGACAGAATTTTTTATTAATGGCATTCTTTATTTTATTTATAAGGGTATATCTCCTTTCTAAGATTAAAACTGATGAAACTTTAATTTAAACTCTTTTAAGTACAACAACAGCTTTAAACCGCTGACATGATTCATGATATAGGCTCCTTGTTACAAATCTTTCCTAATGTCTAATTTGATTGTTGTATTTGTCTGATATTTAAAAAACAGGGTTGGGTTCTTACCAGGACACGGTATAATTAATTTATATTATGGTATAATAAAATTATATCATGGTAAATTAATTATCATGGTATAATAAAATTTTCTGTTTAGCTTTCGTATTGTGACTGAAAAATTATTCACTCGTGTTGTCCATCTCTTGAACGAATCTTGCAATGTACTGGAAGATCATCAGTTCACAGATTTTTTTTATTTAGTTACTTTGTACTTTTTTCATTATTTTTCAAGTTATTATTTTTTATTATTATTGTGATTGCTTTAATTGCAATCAAGGTTCTACTATATTTACTTTTTTAACAAGATGTCTTTCATAAAAATTTTCTTTTTTTTATTATTTAGTTACTATACTCTGACAACAGATTATAACCCAATATAAGTTTTGCATAAGCTAAAAAGATATCAGGGAGAGGGCGAGAATTTTTTTTTTATTGTTTGTTTACTGTATAACACACTTAGTAAGATGTTGGTACTTTTCTATTATCATCTGTTTATTTTGTCATTTACCCACCCTAATGAATATTTTTATGTTGATTAAATGAAAATTAAATAGTTCTGAATTAAATATTACCGTTATTTTTCATTGAATTAAGTAAGTTTTGATCTTTGTTTGACATTCTATTTTCCGAACATGGTGAGTTTCTTGGATATTTTACTGTATTATTATAGACATACTGTTGTATAGACTATAAATAACCACTCACCGGGTGGCAAGTGAACAAAAAAGATGGTGACTTAAATTAAATAAACAATATCTTTTTCTCATCATAATTTTTTTTTTTTTTCGAAAATTGTTTGATGATAAAAATGCATCAATAGTACATCAATGCAGAAAGACTTTGGAAGACAGAATTTTCATTAAAATGTCCATAGTGTCCATTTAATTTGTGATGGAAAGATTCATGTGGAAGGAGAGTTCTTTGACAATTGACATTTTTAAAAGTTATAATGCGTACATTAAATGTATTTTGTTTCCCCAAATATATTTCAAGTCGCAATATTCATCTAAATTCTATAATCTAAATTCTATTATTTTTATTGCGGAATTATCTTTTTATAGCCATAGATTTTTTTAATATGAATTTTTTTTTGCATAGACAGATTATCAAAGGAAAATGACATATCGATATTTGTCATCGACTAATTAAGTTGGAGGAAAAAGTGACTTCTAAGTTATTAAAGTCACTGGATAGTAACTGATTTCAAATTTTCAGATCCACTGTATTACAAATAATAAAACAATAATATTGATTTTTTTTAAACATACAAATAATAATTTACCTGGTTATTCAGCCAAATCACATCCCTATCTATGTTTTTTCAATGTACTCATATTACATTTAAATTCATAGATTCCATAGTACATAAATTTTTGTTCTGTGTACATTTCTAGATACATGATAATTTAGTAGGTCTGTGATATTTCATTTTTTAAAAAGAAAACATTTACTGTCGCGTTCACAATGCTGCTTCTGCTTGGGAGTAAGGACGCAAAAGGGAGAAGACGTGTTTCTTCTGCGCTTCTCGTTTATGTATAGATTCAGGATATCTATAAATACCGATATTATCAAGGTGTGTCGGTGAACCAGATATTTAGGTTTCGATTACTTCTCCCTTGCTACACCACCTCTGGAATTCAACTTGCATCCAAAGAAGTACCAAATTATTATCATAACAACTCCACCAAACTTTCTGATCTATCTCAAAACAAGAATGAGACAAGCAAATAAATACTTCATTATCTAGCTAATTTCCATAAGTTTCAACTTTTTGAAACAAAATAAACCAATGGAATCAATGGATATCTACCCGCGATTGAACAGAAGTGAGTCATCCAGTTTCCATCTGGTCGGGGTCCATCTCTTCGGGGAGCAGATGAGGTCAATAACTTCCCACCCACCGAGTGATGTTGGTTTTTTTTTCTTTTCAAGATATTTGTGGTTTTCCTCACTCATAGATGTATGTAAACAAAACTGATCCTATTTTTCTTTTTCAAGTTCTTCTTATTCAAGAACAATTGCAGTTTTCCCTCCTTCGCTGAGTTTTGGAATTCCATTTAATTTTATTTTTTGTTTTAATCTGCTGATCTGCAAATCAAGTGTTTATTTTGATTACTTTGATGTATTCTAACTTATAACGTAATCAATCTACTTATTTCACCAATGCATCTGCTATATTAAATTTATCCGTTTATTTGATCTAATTGCTTACTCATATTCAAGACCTGAATTATCTGGGTACTGTCCGGTAAGAGTCAATTAACATATGTTTTTTATTGTAACGATTTAACTTTAAAAAACCAAATTTTACTTATTTTATTATTATTTGCTTTCTTTACTTGTTTTATTCGTTTTTTTTCTTCTCCATTCAAGATATCTGTGTTTATCGTCAGTAGCGGCTGTATATTATTGTTATTTTATAGTATTATTTTGATTAGTTTGATGTATTAGAACTTAATTAATCTAAATTTTCACCAATGCATGAGTTATGTTAAATTTATCCATTTGTTTTATCTAATTGGTTACTCATATTAAAGACCCGAATTAAACGTGTACTGTTTGATAAGGGTCAATTAACGAATGCTTTTATAGTAACAGTTTCATATTATTTTTGTTTATAAGCATAATTTTACTTATTTTATTATTATTTACTTTCTTTACTTATTTTATTTGTTTATTTTTCCAAGATATTGGAGTTTATCGTCAGTTACGGGTGTATATAAGTAAAACTGAACTTATATTTCTTTTTAGTGATTCTTATCAAAGAACAATTGTATTTTCCCACCCTTTGCTAAATATTGGTTTTCCATTTAATTTAATTTTAATTAACTTTTTTGTAATAGTCTACTAATTTAGAAATCAAGTGTTTATTTTGATTACTTTGATGTATTCTAACTTATAACGTAATCAATCTAATTATTTCGCCAATGCATGAGGTTTGTTAAATTTATTCGTTTGCCTGATCTAATTGCTAACTTATGTTCAAGACTTGATTAGTCTAGGTACTGTCTCCATTTTAAATTTTTATATTCTTCATTTTGTTTTTCCCTTTTTAAAAAATTTTTTTTTTAGTATTTCTTGTGCACTTTTTGGTGGCATTTTGATCTGAATTTTAATTTAATATTCACCTTCAATTAATTTTCTTTTCTTTCTTTTGTTGTTGATTGATTTTGTTTCTGGTCAACTCAGTTGCTGATTATAATTAATTCAATTCCTAATTTAATTCTTGTCTTAACACCAATTTCGCTGTTGTTTGTATTTCAAAGCCCACTTAATTAATTATCAACAATGTTCTACTTATAATGTTAATTTTACTTTTTGTGTATTACGCCATGCCTCAAGAAATTTGTAATGGAATTAAAAAGTTTTGCATACAATTATAAAATTCGTTTAGCCTAAGATAATTACATGTGAATAATAACTTTTAATGAGCATTCATTTATCATTTATTTTTATGCATTTACTACTTAAGAAGAGTCGGCAAAAATTTTAATTGTAAGGTATACAAATTTTTACATCATTTTAAAGAATTAAAAAAATGTAGCAAAATCGATTGAATTCTGAAAAATCGAATTCTAAAAACACGACTTTTTCAAAATTTAATTTCTCATAAAGTATTCGTCTGATTTCGTTCTTTTGTATATTGCCATTTAAAATTACGTTCTTTAAAAGTGACGTAAAAAATTTTATACTTTACAATTCAAAATTTTTCGATTATTATAAATAAAATAATAAATGTATGTTGAAAGTTATATTTTGCTTGGAATTATCTTCAGATGAATGAATTTTATAATCATGTGTAAAAAATTTTCAATTCGTTTAAAAAGTATTCGAGATATGGTGAGATACACAGAAAGTAAAATTAATATTAAGGGTTTCAAGCTTTTGATCATCTTCCTGACCGAACTATTGGGACCATATTTCCCAGATTGTGGCTACCACGTATATTTTAGGGTCAGAAATCAGAATCCGTCGAGAGAAAGTATGTTTTTGTGTCTGATTTCGTACCTTAAAGTATCGCGAGCATTAATTGATTAGCATATTAGAGGTCATCCCCTCAAATCTTTTAAGATTGAGTCCTAGAACATGTGAAAATCCTATCATTAGATTAAAAGTTTTTCAGGCTGGTCCGTTTTTTATTTTGCGCTCTGTACGAAACAAACAGCATTTCTGTTCCCCCCCCCATAGGAAAACAATCTTAAATAAGCAGTAAAAGCAACATTTACAATATTAAAATATCACAATTAAATTAAAAATCTCCGAAATACGATTGATCTCTTACCTAGGCAATTTAGAACATGCTTCCAAATGAGCCATCCGGTACACTGATGGTTTTAATTATGTCGTATTAATATAAATTGTCGAACTCTTGTAGATTTTTTTTCTTCTTCTTTTTAGCAGCATTTGGAACTTCTAATTTCTACTTCTTACTTTTCGGCAATTAGCAAAATCTTCTTTATCTTCGATTATCAATGTGAGTAGTGGAAAAAATTTATGCAATTATGTTGGCGTTTTTTTTTCCTGCCATTGCAGTTAAAATTATTTGATTGATTAAGTGATAAACTGCTCTTACCAGTAGTAAGTATATTGCTAAAATTATTTAAGAGTTATATTAATATGACGATTTTCTACAGTTCTCTTTAACGAATAAGTAATATTTTGGTTTTTAGTACTTATTTCAGTTAAACCATATGACTTTCATTAATTAAGCTTTTTGGCGTCAATAATACAATAACGATTTTTTGTGGTTGATCTAAACGAATAAGTACCTTTACTGAATTAGTTTTCC